TATTGCAAAATATGACGTGAATGAAGTGAATGTTTCTTTGCACACAGTAGCTCATGACTATTCCCAGTGGGAAATAAGCTGTTTTATATGATGCAACCAATGATAACTACAAGTAGTTAGTATTAACCCGCGCCCTGCTGGGGGTCCTGGATTTCCACGCCCTGCTGGGGGGGGGTGTTTGAACACCCCCCCCTTGTAACTCGGCTCCTGGGCCACGTAGTGATACGCGGAAGGCGGCGTTCGAAAGAGCGTCAAAAATAATGACGAAATCACTTCGGTCAATTTTTTGGTCAGGTCAAAGGTCAGGTCACCAGAGGTCATTGAAGGCAAAATTTCGCCGATTTCCAGGTCGAATGTCGAAAATTTCCAAGAAGCCAACGCATAACTCGGGAACCAATAGAGCTACAGCGCCGCGGAAAAGCGCATTCGATAGCTCTTTTAACGCCCTTTCTGAGTAATTCTCTCAGATTTGACCTAACGTCAACGGTTTTGCCTGCAGGGGGCAAAAACTGCAAAAATAGCCGATTTTTTCGAAAACAGTTTTTTTTGCAATAACTTTTGACCCAAGCCTTGTACGAGCTTACTTTTACCGGCATCGTGTTCCTCTCGTCAAGACGCATCGAATGAACTATGACTTGACCTTGAAAGGTCAACTTGAAAATTTGACCTCAGGTCAAGGTCATGACCTGACCGGAAAGGGTCATGTTGCATATCAGTCGATCCGTATCGTCGAGCTGAACACATCTAAGGCGTTTTCATCGCTCTAGCATACCTCTATCAAAAGTTATTTGCGAAAAACTGTTAGATACCATTCGTGACCTAAGATGACCTCAGGGCATAAACAAGGGTCACGGACACCATTTTCAAGTTCAGTGTGTCTAAACCACTTGTAATTCGGTGTTTGGGAGTGTTTATAATGTCTTTCATCCAAAAGAGGCGCATTTCAATTTTCTCCCATTGACTTATAATGGGGAGGTCGCAAAATTGACCTGACCTTAGGTCATCGATATCAAAATTCTGAGATATACATTTTGTACAGGCTATTGCTCTTAGCAATCGCTGAAAGTTTCAAAGCGATCGGTCACTCGGTGTAGCTATGACAGACATTGAAAGTTTTTATGAGGTGAGGTCACTTCAAGTGACCTGGTGACCTGACCTTGAATGACCTTGGTCTGAAATTTTCACAACATGTGTAGAATTGATGTATGATAAGGTGTACCAAAAACGGCGGCGCTCCGCGCCGCCGTTTTTGAGATATTCGCGAAAAACCACAGGGGGGGGGGTGTTCAAACACCCCCCCCCAGCAGGGCGCGGGTTAATTGACTTTTGGGGAACGGGTCAAACTGGTTCCGATTCCAACTAGGACCGGGTCTGACTGGTTCCAGAAATGTCCAGCCGGGTCTGGTTCGAGTCTGGTTCCCAAAATTTTCATCTTTTGCCACCTCTAATCTGCATATGCCACAAATTGAAAAGAAGAAGATTGGAAACCTCATTTTATTGTTAAAATCTCTTCCTTTACTTAGTGATGAGAGACATCCAATGATACACGATTCTAAGGTTCAGGTCATTAGTTGACCTTCAAGGTCAGGTCAATGAATCATGTGTCGGGAAATTCGGACCTGCTAGAACCTCTTGAAGCGAGTTTTTTTCGAAACCCCAATTTGGAACTTTAGGTACATCGCTTTTGATCAAAGATGACCTACTCATGCATCTGGGAAAGGACGGGTTAGGTCAGGTCAGGTCAGGTCGAACCAGCAGGCATTCTACCAGATATTTATAGCTCAGACACATTCGACGCGTCTCAAAGAGAGCAACACGATGCCAGCAAAATAAATGTCGTGCGTTTCTTGAGTCAAAGGTTAATAAAGAAAAACATTTTTCGTTTTTGCGAATTGTTGCCCTCTGGAGGCAAAACACTTGGTGTGAAGTCAGATCTGAGGATGCACACCAGAAAGAACATTAAAAGGGCTATCGAATGCGCTTCTCCGCGGCGCCGTATAGCTATAATGGTTCCCGGGTTATGCGCCGGTGTTTTGAAAATGTATGAAATGTGCAACATTTTACATTTGATGACCTCTGGTGACCTGACCTTTGGCCTTACTTAACAAAATGGCTTAAGTATGTTCATCTTGATTTCGGGCGTTCTTTCGAATGCCGCTTACGGCGTGTCGCTACGTGGCCCAGGAGCCGAGTTAGACGGGGGGGGGGGGGGTTAAACACTTCCACGGCCTGGCACGGTTGGCGCTGAATACCGGCCCAGCGTTGGTTAATGCTACTCTAAAGTTCCAAAAGAGGAAGTGTGTTAATAAGAAATGTGAATCCGTCCGTAATAGATACAAGACGGGTTAATTTTTATCATCTTGTTTGTCTGTGCCTGGCTCACTAAACTACAACTAATATCACTTTCATTTTCTTTCAGTGGCTGTCCGCTTTGTTGCGCTATTCCCCGCTTTCAATCTTTTAAAAAATTGAATTCCTTTCACCTCGATACACGCTGGTGACTCGCTAATGTAGCGCAGAGCGTCTATAATAAGCTCTTTGAAACGAGCGCATTGACAAACTCCTCCCAAAACGGAAAACAGACCCGACCATCGGCGACCAAAGCGACGCACGCACCGTCGACCGACGCGTGCAGTCACGTGATCGGCCGCCCCAGTAACCCACCCACCTGGTTTACGATCACGTGCTGCAGACTGAAGCGCTCATGTGTAAACCGTATAAGAGACAATGGGCGTGGGTATGACGCTGCAGTGGCTGAGAACGTTCAGGACCGGAGGGGACCGCAGAGGACGCCCGGTGGTGTAGAAGGAGGGCCGGGCTCTATTCGGAGGACTGTCGGCTGCTGGAGGACGGCTGAAGGCTGCTGGAGGACGGTTATCGGCTGCTGGAGGACGGCTGTCGGCTGCTGATTAGAAGGCTCATCGGAGGGCGACCGGCAGAAGCAGTTGACAGACCAGGTGAGATGACGGGAGATCAGGAGGAGTTTAGAGTAAAAATGTATATTGACAAATCTATTTATTGCAATTGCGTCACAAGGTTTGTGGTTGTTTTTAGACTAAAAGTTCAGAAAGCTTTCATATCGAGGCCAGAAATGTGAGTGTGCCGGCTCATCGAGTCCTCTGTGGAGAGTTTGTTGTCATGTGAACATTTTACAACTCATCATACCTAGTCAGGAGAAGCCCATCCGAACACCAAACATTCTCTGGCGGTCCTCGCCTTCGCATTCAACACATTCATGATGGACGCACCCAAGACAGAGTAGTGGTAATCCTGCAAAAAACGCCGTCTATTCCTTGAGAAGAAAAAAAGGCCGTTTCTCTGTCGGTAAAAAATGATGACTTTGATTTGCCGGACAAAGCCGAGATGTCGGTTCCTGGGAAGGGGGTCACAAAGGCAGGAATCGAGCATTGGCGGCGGGTCAGACGAATTCAGAAGAAAGAGAGAGGAGGCCATTGACGTGAGCGCAGCTCTCAGCTGGCACGCTATTTATGATACAGCGATAATTTGTTACCGAGGCCGACGTCGCTGCCACGGAACAACGCTCACCAGCGCTGGCACCACCGACACTATCGCCAGCGGCACCAGCGGAGCACCACCACTGTCTTGGCTGAGCCATCACCACTGCTGCTGCTGCTGCTGCTACCAGTGCTGCTAGTGCCGCTGCCGCTGCTTCTGCTCCTGCTGCGACTTCCCTGACCGGCTGTTGACACGAATCACACGCACGTTTCTCAGGCTGTTTGCAGAGCTCGTTGGCCGTCATAATTAGCGCCTTTGTGGCTCGGTAGGAGCGTCAGCCGGGTGCCGGCGAGCTGACGAGTGCCGCTCGCCGCTGCCGACAGAGCGACGGCAGCTCGCGCCGCCGCCGGTCGTCCTCGCTCGACGGGCGGTGGGAGAGCAGCCACTGACCCCACCCCTCTGTTTGGAGCCGGTGACAGCGGACGGACCCCTACTTAGTGACCCGGTGGACGCTGCCGGGGATCGAGTGAGGTGCTGAAGGAGTCGGAAGGAGGTACGCTGCTGCAGGTAACACACTCGGTGACATCTTTAGTGAGAATTTTCCCATTCGTCGGGAAATGAACGATACAATTGGGATGAGTGACTGAAACTGTGCCGTGTTTTTGAGACTGCGAAGGAAGGTGATATCAACTTTGAAGATGATCAGTGAAAAGGGACGCAAAGTGTTCCGTCTAGTAATAATTAGGAACTTCCTTATTGGCCCCTGTGATAAAATTTGCTCATTTGATCTCGTCGCTGTATTTGCCGGCCAGCAGTCATACTAAGAGCTGAATAATACATTCAATTTGTAGTTTTCCCGATTGAAATAATGATATTCCCATGGTAAACGCTACTTTTCACCTATGACAGTTTCAGGAAACTTTGTATTCCTAAGCGCTACTGTACATACAACCGAAAGCATCATCGCGCCTAATGGCGCTCATCATTCCGTTGAATAAGTGATACCTATGACCAATGAAATTTGGGCTACACTGTTTTATTATTTATAATTTAGATTGCTTGTGTTTGTGGTGACGTTTCGTATTTGGACTGAAATAGCAGTTTACCTTTTTGTTATGACCCAAGCACAGCACGGTCTTCTAGGTCCAGAAACAGGCTCTGGCAAAATTTTGGCTAAAAAAATCCATGGCAAAATAAGCAATTTTGAGATCTGAACGGACCTTGACCTTATCTGAAACCGATATAAGTGATAACTGAAGCATTTTATTCGTCATCCACTTGAGAGCTTTTGTTTCTCTGTTTCTCATCTTTTCACAGCCAGTTGTCCCTCGGGCTCTTTGGTTGACTTTGGCTGGAGCCCGGACTAAGCCTTCGCTCGGCAGTTGTTATATCTGCTGCAGCCTGGAGGCGTTAGTTGTCCCAGCTGTCTTGCCTCCAGCCCCAAGTGGATGGTGGTGGATGGTGCTATATCTTCAGTCAAACAGTCAACAACTCCCGGATAAATTCCGTGGACGATTGCGTCTGTCTCCGTACCCTGAAGTATTAATATTGAATATTCATATCGAAATTGAAGTAGAACCTCCGCACTCTTATCGTATGCCAATTGATGGACTGTAGCTGGCTTTCCGGGTTGTTTGCTAACATCTCTGTTTGTTTGTTCGTTCCGGCAGCGATGCTGCTCGTCACCGGCTGTGTGCTGCTGCTGTCGGCGGTGCTGACCTCTGGCGGTGACCCGGTCGAGGTCACCCCGTTCCGGCCGCCCCCCGACGAGCTGGACCGGCTGCTGGACACCAGTCTGCTGAGTGACATCGAGGACCAGCTGAGCCTGGAGGCCGCCCAGAGAGGCAGCAACTCCACCGCGCTGCTGTCCCGCTCCCGACGTGCTCTGGCCTTCCCCACCGGGTCGTACGCCCAGGTCGACTTCCAGCTCTACGTGCCATTCTACACACAGGGAGACTTTTGTAAGAACACGCAGAAATACCAGCATGCAATGGGCTAGCATCCGTCCTGGCTGGCTTTGCTCATATATGAGCAATGCCATGAGCATGCCATGAGCAATATCAATGATTATAATCATTGACAAGTCTACCCTCTTCATTGTTCACACTTCATGGTGGGCAATGCAGAAAGGATCATTTCATCCATGGGGTGACCGTTTGGGTGACCGAGAGAGAAAGAGAGAGAGAGAGAGAGAGAGAGAGAGAGAGAGAGAGAGAGAGAGAGAGAGAGAGAGAGAGAGAGAGAGAGAGAGAAGAGAGAAGAGAGGAGAGAGAGAGAGAGAGAGAGAGAGAGAGAGAGAGAGAGGAGAGAGAGAGAGAGAGCAGAGAGAGAGAGAGAGAGAGAGAGAGAGAGAGAGAGAGAGAGAGAGAGAGAGAGAGAGAGAGAGAGAGAGAGATGATTTACCAGCAGTTATGTCGCTGCAATAATTCAATGGTGCTTCAGTCACGACCAAAACGAGTGTCTTTGTTTGCCTTTGCTTGTCTTGCATCAACAAACAGTTTGAAGAGCCAAGTACCTACATTGTGAGATATTGAGATCAATGGGGTAGCGCGGGAGAGGTGCCGACATCGAACACCCGCGGGAAGCAGTGGTCAATGCCTGGCAATGGTCCATCCTAGTTACTATTCTGGTGGCGCGAAATGACTTGGACATATTTAACCAATAAATAGTGCCAATAATTGCGCATTGGCGGCACGGCACTGTCATGCTGATGTTTGTGTTTACGGTTAGAGGACCTTTCAAATTTATAGACACACTATATTGTAGTCAATAAATCAAACATTTGCTGGTGAAATGGTCATATATCAATGGTTGATCATACTAATTAAATTTTCCATGACAGTAAGTTCGCCGCACATTGCATGTAGAGCTGGCTTTCGTTGAATTTAATTTTGCCGATCTTTTACATTACTTGAATTACCTACACTTGCTTAAATAACATTTGCTAAGTCATTTCTCTGTACATGCAAAGCGCCTCGTTCATCCCCTCGCTCCCACCCGCTCACCCCTGCTCCTCGTATCATCGTCAGCTGCCATCCTGGACTGGACGACGCGGTTCCGCCTGTTCCTACCCAACAGTACGTCCGGCATCAGCCTGGGGCGCCGCTCTCTGGACGACGACCGGGAGAAGATCTACGGCATCATCGAGGCCATGATGTACAGGTCAGATCGAGCGCTTCGGTGTCCCAGGGCTATTTGTGGTTTCTTCTGTTGGAAGATATGAATCGGCAAAATGTTCTATATTTCTAACAGAGACTCTGCTATTGAAAAGAAAAGTAAGATTATTGCAAATAGACAGAAGGCTCGACACAGGATAGAATAGGCCTAGGGCCTGGATCCCCCCGGCCCTAGGTATTGTATTTCTAAACCTGACCAATGCTTACAGCTGACAAGGCATCATTATTTTGGCAAATTAATTATTCCAGAAGTAAGCTGTCTCGTTTATAGTGAGTTGCTCGACTTTTGGTGATTCCTCCTGACGTCACTCACCTGACTGACGTCACTAGCCTATGTATGACGTCACGTATGTGTGCCCTCAGTTTCGGTGTGGACGGCCACGTCTGTCTGCTGCGCACCATCTGCGACGTGGCCGAGCAGCCGTTCCAGGACGACGGCGTGCTCGGCGACGTGATCAACACGGTCATGGCGTGAGTGGTTGTCGGTGCTAAAGATCAAAGCGGTCCTCGAAGGATGTTAAAGGAGGGAAGGGAGGCAGGAGGCTGGTAGTAGGGTACAAACTACAAACCAAAGCGGTCATTTAGGCTTATTGATAATGAAAGGTTTTAACGTCTACGCATCTTTTTTTACTTTCGATTGGAAATATTGCCATTCGTAATGAAACAATTTACCTCATTCTCACCCTCAACCATCTCATTTGTGAATGAGATTTACGGTTGTCTATTCACGAGTGGCTGCCGTTTCAAGCTTCAGAGTTCGCACTGCTGTTGGATTTGCTAGACGTAAGCTATAGCTTTTTTTTTGCTGATTGGGATGTCTGACTGATCTCTCTCTCTCTCTCTCTCTCTCTCTCTCTCTCTCTCTCTCTCTCTCTCTCTCTCTCTCTCTCTCTCTCTCTCTCTCTCTCTCTCTCTCTCTCTCTCTCTCTCTCTCTCTCTCCTCTCTCTCTCTCTCTCTCTCTCTCCCTCCCTCCCTCTTCTCCCCCTCCCAGTGCGTCGTACCGGTGGCAAGACGACAAGATGTACGAGTACGTGGAGGCAGAGTACTACGGCCGCTACTACGGCAACTGCCAGGAGGCCTACGACTGCCCAGTCAGCATGTCGCGCATCACTGACGTCATGACTGACGTGGTCGGCTGATAAAGATGACGTCACAGTGCGCTCAACAGATGACGTCGCAATGCGCTCGGCTTATACTGAAACGTCACAGTGTGTGGAAAGCGCGGAGAAGGTGACGGAAAATTGTTGCTTATTCGCTTGGTTGAGAAAGGTCAACTTATGTCTTATGATATTTGCTAATATTTGTTATCATAATTAATTTATTGTTATATTTTTGTTATCAACTTTTGTTGTTGTTAGGCTGGTGGTGATATATGAGGCTTATTGGCATAAACTTCGGTAACTATGGTTTTGTGATTGCAAACAGTCGTAAGTAGCCGTCTACTCCTAAAATGCACGAGCCCCTGACTGAGGTGTTCAAGGTCAACCGGTATGCTGTTATGACCAGATGTAATGTACATGCGAAGTGTCCTCAGAAGACGTGCGTTTGTAATACACCGAAATGACCCTTGAAAATAATATTTTTGAGTCATTTTTGTGATGTTGTGGTTTGCCCATGTGTGTATCTAGTACCACCTAGTATGACTGTACCTACACAGGCCTACTCTACAGTCTACACACTCTCCGCATACGTTTTTTTTTTCTCAGCGATTGTACGTGAAGTATAGGTATTGACCCTCCTCGGAGCACATGTAGCTCGAGATTTTCCGCTGGTAAGTAAGAACTACATCACCATTTTCACAAAGCCTGTACTGTACCTACACAGTACACATACATCTCTAATTTTCACTCATGTTTTGTTTGCTTCGTTATAAAATACATATCGCGTTATAGAATAAATTGTGGTTGATGAATCTACTAAACGTGTTTTTGTCACTTTCCATTTTTCAGAAATCATCAATAGTCGTATAAAACGCGGTGTAATTTACATCGATGGTCATGTGTAAAGCAATGCGACTTGATTGTTTCAAAATAAACCACATAGGCTGATAGGAAACGTCCTATTTAAATGGTCCTTTTAGTTTTGTTTTCATATACGGGTTGATATGAAATGTATTTAAATTACATTTCATCTTGAACATTCTGTCCAAGCGAGCCTAGAGGCTAGAACGAGACAATAGCATATGCAAGTTCAAACACATTTTGATTATACTTTGCAGATAAAATGACGTCATACGTGGTAAAGTGACAGGGTTCTGGGGACATGAGGCCTAGAAGCCCAAAATAGCAAAATGATCTCAATGCTGCAATCACTATCACACCCTATAAAAGCTAACATTTTTTTTTAACCCGCGCATGTTTGGGGTATTTTCCAAAACGCGAGGCTCTCCAGAGCCCCCCCCCCCCCCTATCTCCGAAACTACTGAGCCGATCGTCAAAGTTCAAACGGCGTCTGATAGCCCTGGACAAACTGTCGAACGAAGCCTATTTTCATTTAACTCGAGGTCACAGATGACGTCACAGGTCAGGTCAAAGTACAAAATTATCGGTATTTTTGCTTGTTTACAATTTAGGCTCTGGCCGCCGGCTGAGAGGTCCGATAAGTCTCATTTTTGGTTTACGCACTGCTTGATATATGCCTTAGGTACCCTGGGGGTACCGAACTTTTCCTTCGAATTTTTCAGGTCAAGGCCAGGTCATCCTAGGTCACGAAAATTGTATATCATGTATCGGTCACGTGACGTATGTTTTATGGTCCATTTTACACGTAGATTTCGAAAATAATGTCTTCTGTGTCATTTGAGGTCATTTTCAACTGCATTTACCGTAGGTCAGGTAAATTTCAGGTCAGAAAAGCTCAAATTTTGAATATGATTTTCAACATAAAAGTACCTATCAGATGCAGTTTGAGCTCGGGAACACGATGGTGCCATTTATATTGCTGTACGACGTCAAAAACGTACTGAAAAATGGTTTTGAAAATATATAATTGTACAATTTTGACAATAATGCAAATAACTTGGCTATTTTTGAAGATATTGGGCTAAAACTTGCTAGAGTTGCTTATCAATGTATGTTCTATCACATATATTCCGGTTTTTGCGAAAAAAAACAACTTAAAAACAAATCAAAAATATATTTTTTGGTACCTAATTGTAAAAACATATTTTTCAAAATTTTCAAAATTTTGAAAATTCGAGATAGCAATTTGATAGCTGCGTGTATTTGCAGTCCACTGATACAAAGAAATTGTATCTAGCTTTAAAACTAAGCTCTTGAGAGCGTTTGCCGTAATTCAATATTTTGAATCAAAATCGGCCGACATGACGTCACCCTGACGCCATTTCCTGCCAAACTATGGCAGCTTGAAAGTTAAAATTTTAACACAAGGTGTCAAATTAATGCCGCTGAAGGTACTGCAAGTTTTGTGCTGATCTAAGAAACGGTTTAGAAGATATTGCCGAAAAACTAGAGGGGGGCTCTGTAGAGCCCCCCCCCAGGTCATGCGCGGGAATTGGGTGTCTTTCATTGGCTACCTTTCGTCAAGGTTAACACGCTTGTTTTTTCCTCAAAGCTCTAGCTCGATCAGTTTCGAACGGCGCGGGGGTCCAACTGACCCCTCCCCTCCCATGCACGCTAGTAGCTGGCAAAACACCAATACGGGGAGGGCAATCTAACAGCTCTATCATTTGATCTAGCCGATGAAGCGCTTCAATTTTCAATGTATAGGTACACTTCGAATGCAGCGACTTTCTTAAGCCCAATTCTCTCTACGCTTGCAAACCATGACAACACGGTGAGTGTCTGATTTAGTATATCCCATTAACTCTAAAAAGTGTCCCAATAACGTCTGTCGCCGCCTGGCGAGTCACGCTCCAAATTGTTTGTTGTGGCCCAGTCAATGCAATTCAGCTGCATGAGCTACCATATACAGTACCGTATAACTTGTTATGGTTTATGAGGCCAATGTTTCAAAATTGGCCAGTAATCTCACCTAATCAGGTAAAATAAGATGACTGGGGGGGGGGGGCTCTACAGAGCCCCCTGCCGTTTTTCAGCAATATCTTCTGAATCGTTTGGCGGATCACAACGAAACTTTCAGTACCCTCAGCGGCATCAATTTGACACCTTGTGTCTTCAAATTTCTAGCTACCATATTTTGACCAAAAATGACGTCAGAGCGACGTCATGTCGGCCGATTTTGATGCAAAATATTGAATTACGGCAAACGCTCTCAAGAGCTTAGTTTTAAAGCTAGATCCATTTTCTTTGCATGAGTGGACTACAAATACACGTAGCTATGAAAATCCTATCTCGAATTTTCAAAATTTCGAAAACTTTGAAAACATGTTTTTACAATTACAAAACATACCTATATTTTGTTGCAGATTTTTTTCGATGTTTCGCAAAAGCACTCACTCTGATGAACTACACTAGCAATTTTCAGTCCAATATCTTCAAAAATAGCCAAGTTATCAAATTATTGTCAAAGTTTTACGATTGCATATTTTTCGAATCCATTTTTCAGTACGTTTTGAACGTCGTACAACAATATAAATGACACCATCGTGTTCCTGATTTCAAACTGCATCTGATAGGCACCTTTTTTGTTGAAAAATTTCATTTTCAAAATTTGATCTTTTCTGACCTGAAAGTGACCTGCCTTCCGGTTCCGGTAAATTCAGCTGACAATGACCTCCAATGACACAGACGACACTATTTTCGAAATCTACGAGTAAAATGGACCATAAAACATGCGTCACGTGACCGATACATGATATACAATTTTCGTGACCTAGGATGACCTGACCTTGACCTTAAAAATTCGAAGTAAAAGTTTGTTACCCTCAGGTTATCTAGGGCATCTGTCTAGAAGTGCGTAAACCAAAAATGAGCCTGATCGGACTTGTTAGCCGGCGGTCAGAGCCCAAATTGTGAACTAGCAAAAATGTCGATAATTTTTACTTTGACCTGACCTGTGACGTCATCGGTGACCTCGAGGTCAATGAAAATAGGTTTCATTTGAAAGTGTTTCCAGGGCTATCAGACGCCGTTTGAATTTTGACGATCGGCACAGTAGTTTCGGAGATAGGAGGGGGGGGGGGGGGGCTCTGGAGAGCCCCCAGTCACTCGCGTTATGGAAAATACCCCAGTCATGCACGGGTTAAAATATGATTTGATTTCGATTTTTATTATTATTGAAAGTTCTTCGGCCTGACACAAGGCCATTGTAGAGGTATGGGATGATAAAAAGGGAGAGACATTATGATTTGCGGGTAATTGGCGGTTCGTCTCAGCGGCAGAGGCTGTCCCAGTGCTGTGCCTGCCCTGCCACTTTACCTACTTGTACTGGTCACCCTCTACAAAGAGTGTAGTTGCGAACGTTCAAAACACATGACTTGCCCTTACCATTCGTTGTCTGGTGGGGTGACGCCAGCCCGGAGAGGGCAGTGCGAGTGAGGATGTGGAGGGGATCATCCTGAGGACAGCAAGGACGGATGATAAATACACCTTATGGCTAGAATTGGCTACCAGAAGTCAAGTAAGCAACCGCAGCCAGCACCAACACGCATTTCAAAGATAGCGTCTCATGACCTTTTATACCTAATTGTCATTTGTAACATTTCCTGCCTGGATAATGGTGTATAAACTATAACCATCGGCATCCTGGACAACTTCATCCGAGCTAAAAAGAACTATTGCACAGCCTTCAAAGTTCATGCTATATCTACCTATTTACATGAAGGACCAATGGAAATTACTAACCAACAAGTGACAAGCATCGGTTCGCCACCCCCCAGTCGCTCCCCGAATGCCATTCGTGTGGCCGTAATGTCCTGGCACCTGGTGGTCACTTTGTGAAGCTGTGTCATTGACCTCGGCCGCTAGGTAGCGCTATCAGAGTCCGGTCTGCTGATACAGCGATAGCAAGCGAGATGCAGAATGCGCACAAATCACACTGGTGGGGCAGTGGTGAGCCACCCGCAACTTACATGCAGAGAGATGGTACTCATACCTACTTACTGTCGAACGGTCGCTCGGCGGAGACTATCTCTAAAAACGGGTCAGTGCCCGACCTCCGGCTCCCTGCAGCGCGGAGGAGGCCGGCGGTTTGGTCCGGCGTGCTGGATCCCGCGGCTGTGTTTGGACTTAGGTGTGTTCGCTTCTGTGTGGCCTGAAGTGACCTCGCTCTTTGGACCGTCTCGGCCGTCATTTGCGTCTCTGTCTGTCCGTTCGACCGACAGCGCGACGGTGGTGGTCACTTGCTATACCTACATACAGGTCAAAAGTCATAGTTCAGTCAAGTAGGTACAGTCAGTCAGTCAAGTAGGTATAGACTTGACATTCAGTCAACTCACAAGTCTGTACTTATAGTCATATCAATACAGAAGACCGAACTTTACGATAAGGTCAAAATAATTTTACCACCGGCACCAACTTATCTTCAGGTTCAAGGATCCATCTGGTGAATGACACCAAAAAGAGAAGAGGTGAGGTTCGAGGGATATACCGATCCAACCTTTACACTGCTTGACAGTGCCTGGCAATGAAATATCCATCACACTTCACAGGTCTAGCTTGCAAAGCGGCACTGCATTCCGACCCTGATTGACATGCAGATTGCCTACGTGCCGGGGAATTTTGCTAGCACGGGTATCGCGTTCACTAACACGAGGTCGAGCAACAACCCTTTCCAGTTCAGCAACACCATTTCGTTGAGCTGCCGACAAAACATACCGGTCTAGCAGCTTGCCGTCACTGCCCACTGGGTAACGCTATATTCGCGTTACCAACGCAACTGCGCTTGGAGTTTGAAATGCTGTCCCTTTGCAGCTGTTCCGTTCATCGTGTCACCCACAACAGACATCCCCTGTCGAATGACGTGATGGGTAGTTGAGGAGTCCTGCACCCCTC